GATAGATAGATAGATAGATCAATAAACAGGCTTTCATACAAGTTTAGGCTTTGTGTCAGATTGAATAAGAGTTCCCACCTCTTCATTTAATGCTGTGATCTATAAATCTGTGTCCACCACAGACCAGCAGGGTTTTTAATATTATTAATATTATTAATATTATTAATGTTTTATGATGCTAATAAATGTTTGTTTACATCAGACACATTGTAACTACAGCAGTAAAATGTGACTTTATTTCAGATATTGAAGGTTTTAATAAAATAATCTTAAATATTTTAGGACAACCAAGCAGCGGTGACGGTAATCAGTGTAATACTAATATATTTACATATTCTGTAGCTCGTATTCAGTTCATGGCAGCGGTTGAACATTGAGAGCAGCCGTGTTTTCAAGTGTTTTTCTCTGTTTGCAGCAGCTCCACCTGTGAAGCTTCAAAATGAAAAATAAAACCGCCCAGAGGCAGGAAGTGTGGTTACATCGTCGTAACTTAGACACCGGAAGCTTTACCCCCCACTCCAACCTGCCCCCCCCTGCAGGAGCCCTGCATTATACAACAGGTTCACAACTGCGGGGAGGGCTGCAGCGCTGCACATCTCACAGGCTTAAAGAAGGCGTGTGTGTGGGTGTGAGAGAGAATCTCAATATCAGGATCAATCAGTCTGCACAGTTTAATACAGATAACGACAGATTTAATGGGATTAAACTAGATTTTATATAATAAAACCAAAAGTAAAGTCAAACTATTAAACAGTTGCTTCACGTTATAATTAAACAGGATTTAATGGCGTTCAGCTCGAGCTGCAGCTGAGTTCTACTTTTATACCACATGTTTAATCTGTAAAATGATTTGGTTATAAGTATGTGGGACATTACCTCAGAAAAACTAAAACAAATAAAGAAAATAAAGTTTACTGCACCACAGCAGCACGCAAACACTGTTTAACTGGAAGTTAAAGACAGCAGCAGCTTATTTTCTGCAGGGTTTCTGAGATATTGACCTGAATATTTGGGGGTTTTGAACTGTTGCTCAAATAAAAAAGGTTATTTGATGTCAATGGGCTTTTTTTAAACCCGTTTATTAAAATGTTATGGACCAAAGGATTAAACACTGATCTGATGGTTGTATGTCTCTCTCCTTTTAGCGCCTAATTTATAAAGAAATCTTCTATTAATAGTTCAACTTACTCTGAAAAGGTCCAGCGTGTAGGATTTAGTTGCAGATTACAACTCCCTCGCTTCACCCTCCACTTCTAAGCATGAAGGAGAAACTACGGAGGCCGAAAAACACACGAAAAATGCAAATGCCCCGATGTAGAGCCAGAGAGGTTTGTCCCTTCTGGGTGACTGTAGAAAGATGATTCTGGTGTTCAGCTGATTACACACTAATGAAAACATACCTATTAATATAATATTCCAATAAATCAACCTGCTTCCTTCAGGGGCCTTTTCTATCGTTAATAAACGGACTCATATTGGATTGATATTTTATATTATATTCAAACAATGAACTCAAACAGTGAACTCTGCAGGACGTTTGTGTAAAACCAGAGTTTTGGATGAAATATGAGCAGATTATTTTCTGTTTAGGGAACTTTTTATTTGTATTATGTATCTTTTAATAATTTCTAACAATCATACAAACTTAATATGATTCTTTTTTCTTTACCTAACAGTTTACATTCACTCTTCTTCACAGAAGTGAACTAAATGCTGAGCTATAGATCTACTGTGTATATATTAATTTAGTTTTCTTACACGCCTTAAAATCAAGAAGGCTTTGCGACCCCCCTGTGAAGCTTTGGCGACCCCTGGTGCTCGTGGTCGGGAACCACCGTCCCGGCCTTTAATTTAAGTCTGTTTCAGTGTCTGTCCCACTGACTCAGGGTCTCTACAGTAACGAAGGTGACTCGTGCCAGCTTCTAACCATGACAACCAAGTATTGCGGGGTAATGTGGTCCTGACCTGCGTTTAGTATTTCAGCTCTATTAATAGTCACCTCTCCACCACGGAGACACACACACACACACACACAGCTCTCTGGCAGGCCTCAAATATCACCATACCGCCACCGAGTCGGAGATCAAACCTGCTGCAGAGGCATCGCCAGCGTTACTGATTCTTTCTGTTTTTATGAAGAAAGGTGCTCAGCCACTCAGCTGCTGTTTACCTGGAGGTACGGGTGGTTTCATTCTAGATCAGAGAGCTGGTTTGTTATCTCACTTTATGGTTTTTAGGCGTGAACTCGACTTACCTGTCCTCACACTTTAAGACAATTTAGATTTCTGTTGATGTTTCCGTGTGTGGAGATGTTTGCCTGCTGAAGTTTTGACAACCAGCTGGAGCAGACGAGGTTTTGAGTCAGCCAGCTCTTGTGGTTACTGTGTCAAGGGTGATAAAACAAGCCTCTCTCTCTCTCTCTGTCTCTTCCTCTCAGGTTGTTTAAAGGCGGAAAAAGGCAGCAAACCTCCTCCTCTTCCTCTGCCAGCCTCTCTTTCCTCTGGAGGAAGAAGGGCCAGTCGGCGTGTGCTGCGGCGGAGGAAAGGTGGTTGACGGCGACTCAGAGACCAGAGCTCCTGAGACAGCCAACAGTCCCGTCGCTGGGTCTCCTGGAGGCTGTTTGGATATTTGGGTGCAGCCATGTCGCCGTTCCTGCGGATTGGGTTCTCCCAGTTCGAGATCGATCCCGATCTGGCCTACCAGGAAGAGGTGCTGAACCCGTACTGTGCTGTTTACATGAAGGAAGCCATTGACACAGGTTAGTGATGTGGTTCTTGTGATTATAAATCTGTAAAATGTCAGAAAATAGTGAAGAATGCTCGTCACAGTTTCATCTTCATGTCTGAATATATAAAATAATGATTATAAAAACAGAACAATATCAATAACCTGCTGGAACTGATTGATCGGTTATCAGAATCATTGGCAACTGATTTTCTGTCCATTGACTAATCGGTTAATCGACTAATTGTTAAAGTGCTATGAGTGATGTCACCAGAGTCAGACCGACATCACAGCGTCTGGTTCCAACGCGCCAATAATTGATTACGTACACATTTATTGTGGAATCGCCTAGGTTACATTTTAGCCGTTGTAATAGCATTCAGATAATAAACTATGGTATAAAGGCTCATTGATAAATCAAATAGGCAGTCAACAGATAATTAATCATCAACTATTTTGATAATCAACTGATTATTTGGATAATTTTTCATGTTTCATTGTTTTTTATGAAAATGTGCTTATTTTATTTGTCTTATATGATAGAACACTTAATTTCTTTGAGGTTTGGACTGTTTTCTGAAGTGAAATTATTTTCTGATTTTACAGACAAAATGATTATTGAGGAGAATTGATTGGTAATTAAACTGTAATTAAACCGTCTTTTCGACCCTGACCAAGAACAGTCTCAGGTGGTAACACAATGAATTACACTGTTCTCATATAAAACACATTTATTACATGTTCATGTGTTTCTTAAAGCCTTTTAACAGGCTGCTGACACTCAACAGTAATTCAGCATTAATTCCACTTCGTGAAAGCTTCTACATTTGCTCCATATGTTCACCGGCTCTTTCTCAGAAATGAAAGCCTCTGCAAACTAGGAAGTTTAATGTTCAGTTAAGCTGCAGCAGTGGGTGGAGTAAATATAGGAATGTGGAAGTAGTATCTTTATTTTTAGATTATGTTTGATATTAGATTACAGAGCAAAATGCCAACAGCAGTCTCACAGAACTTTCTTATTTTCACTTTCATTTTAAAAGAAGTTATAATACAATTAATGCTCCTCACACTGTTACAGATTGTACTATAAATGTTTAAAATATGCTTTATTTTTGGACATTTTTGAACGTCTTCCTTGCAGTTGTTGATTCACATTCATGGTCACAACTTTGGGAAACTTCCCAGCGTGATAACAGACGCACAGCAGATATCTTTGGTCTGCATCTGGCTATCTTTAAACCGCTGGCGAACACGAGAGCAAGCAAGAGCTAAAAACAGAGAGAGAGAGTGGAAAGAGGAGGGCTCTGATGCTTCTTTTCCTCTTGAAAACCACACGAATGGTCCTACGAGGCCGCGCAGAGAGGCCCTTTGTGTGTGGAGTTCATCTACAGACTCGCTAGGAGGGAAAATGCCATTTAGTTATATTTCACCTAAAGCTTTTTAATGTGCGATCACATACTGATACAACTCGTGTGTTTGCATTGAAACCAACACGCACAACAACCAGTTTTAACTCTATTTAAGTTGTGGACATCAAAGCTTTAGTGGTGTCAGACTTTGTGACAGACACACTGGCTCAGCAGCACCAGCTCGATGTGCTCTATAAAGAAGCCTCTTCGACCACTAAAGTCCAACCAACTACATTTTCCACCATTTTGAATATTTGAACCGTCGGTCCGATCGCTACCAGATCTTCCATAGATCATCACTGGGTGAAGCTGATCAGTAGTCACATAAGACTTATTGATATCTTATTTAAATTTCAAGATATTGATCAATGAGCTTCAAAAGGAGGCGTTGGTCATCACATAAACAGACAGAAGTCAGCAACCATTGGGCCGATCATCACAAAACTCATAGGATACGACCGGATAGGTGCCTGAAACATATCCTGAAAGTTTCATCTAAATCTTCCACTAGGGGGCGCTACACATGCAAAAAATGGGTGTGGAATAATAAATCAGTCCTGACTGTACGACTATTTTGACATTTCTAACTTCTTCTAATCTATCAGTCTAAAGTTATTTTTTGTATTACTTAATTAAATATTTACAATAATATGACATTTTGTAGATTAAAAATTTAAAATATATCAAGTAAACATAAGTGTAAAATGTTTCATTACAAAGACTTAGTTTTTGTTTCAGGGTGCTCTTTAATGCAAAATGTTCCTCTGCAGCAGCATGTAGCTTAAAGATTACAGATCAAAATACCTTTATTTATATCTATATTTATTCTGTATTTTTTGTAATTCCCATGAAAAGAACATAACCAACGATGTCTCTCTCTCTCTGACGTCCCTTCAGGCCCAGTGGTTCCTGCCAAAAAGAATAAATCCTTAAAACAGCTCATAAATATATTGTTTTATAAAAAGAGTCCATGTAGACTTTAGCAAATGTTTAAAGAAGTAACATTTGTTGGGGACTATTTTCAGCGGCGGATTAATCCATATTTGGTGCTTTGATGAGTTCCAGCAGCAGGACTGTGTTTGTGAGCCTGAGTCAGGGCAAACAGAACATATATCAGGATTAAGTGCGTCAGCTGGATGAATTCATGGTCGACTTTCGTCTTTTCATGGTAGAAAAACTTCCAGTTTTATCATTTAAAGGAGGCGTTTTCATGTGAATGTTCAAAAACACGACATGAAAATAAAAACGCTGTCTGTCGCTCGTGTAACCGACTCTAAGCAGTTTCCTTTTTTTGCTGTGGATACCCACCCCCCCCCCGTCACAGCTCGTCACTGCAGTGGAACAGTAGCCCATTCTTGTTTAACTTCCACTTTTTAAATGAGGCGAACCTGCACGCTGAGTTGTATGGAGGACCGAAACCACCAAAATCTTTTAAAATAATGTAAAAAATAAATGAAGGCATTAATTGATTTATAATATGTGAAATAAATAAATATTTGTTTTAATTTGCTTTTCTATTTATTTACCTTTGTATTAATTCCCCTATTTATTTACTGTCCCATTTACTTTTCCATTTTATTTATTAATCCCCAAACTTATTTATTTTTGTGACTTCTTTTAACTCTTTATGGGTGTGTTTAAAATCATGCTAAAGATGACGTCAGATTGGGTACGCAGTGTGTTTCAGCTGTGATTGTTGCGAACGGAAAAATGCCGGATATATAAACTAGATTAGCAAATATGCAGCGTGAGTTTACTGCACATACTCAACCGCCCCATAATGCATTGCGTCTCATCAGACCAGTCAGACTACAAAGTTCACTTTTGAGAATATTTGATGTGAGAAATTTTGAAACAGATTTTGAATATCTGCAGTATTTTTATTTATTTATGGAAATTGATTGAAAATTTGCTCAAACATTTTCGGAGCTCCATTATCACCAGCGGGATGTAGCCAGTTGACATTTCTATCAAGACAAATGCAAATATGTACGTCTACAAGCTGCTTTTAACTGGATCAAACAACATATGCAACTTGCAGAAGGTGTAATTGATTGATAATGTATAATTCCCCAAGTAATCATTAATCAAATCGCAATATGATTTTTTTTACCATATC